TCCAACCCCTTGACAATGATGCAGCAGCCCAGTGCCGCCTTCTCTGACCCCTCAGCATGTTAACTGTGCATAGCACTGCATGGGAGACCATGTACGCCTTGTAGCCAGTCCCCAGGACAGCAGAGACAGGACTGCCCTGAGGTCATCCTTGCCAGCCCAGAATAGCTACCACTTCTTGTCCCTAGCAAGGAATGATGGTCAAGCACAGAAAGGAGGCTCTATGGACAGACAGACTTGAATTGGGTTCCTGGCTCTCCCACAACCTAGCCAAAGGCTCTCCAAGTACCTGGTCCGGGCAGGAGTCACTTCTTCCCCTGAAGAACAGGGCTTGGTGAGAAGGATGGGTAGGGCTTGGGGCCAGGGGTGGTGGTGGTCATGTGACCCTGAGTTCAAATCCTAGCCCTGCTTGCATCCTGGCTGTGGGTTATAGACAAGTCTTCAAATTTCAGTCTGAACATAAAATAAAATAAAACAGTCAACACTATGACATATATCTTGCAGGGTTTGTTATAAGCGTTAGATTAGTCTGGCACATGGTAGGAACCAACTGGTAATTTTTCAACTTTTGCCCCCTTATAGGCTGGTACGAGGTGCGCCTCATTCATGTTTGTGTTTGTAACACCAAGCACAGGATGCAGCCCATAGGAGGAGCTCAATAAAGCAGGATGAATCTTGAACCTCATCCTCTCCCAACTCGCAAGAGTCCAGGGCAAGGATTGATAAGCTAAGACCTGCAGGCAAAATCTGGCTTGTTGCCTGGCTTTTGTTTGAATAAAGTTTTATTGGAACACAGCCACACTCAATCATGTGCATATTGTCTATAAATGTTTTAATGCTACTACGTCAGCGTTGAGTAGATGCAACACAGACCACCACACGGGCCTGCAAAGCCAAAAACATTTACTCTCTGGCTCCTTACAGACATTGTGTGTGCACCCCTGGTCTTGAGTATGGATCCTCTCAATGAGGGGGAGCACCGGAGGGCCTCTTAGTTTTGGGGGAAAAAATTCCTCTGCTCCTCCCCTACCCATGCTTTATATCCTCTTTCCCTGGTTTATTTGTTTATTCTCTTTAGCTTTTACCATTCCATTACACACTATTTATTTCTATTATATATGTTTATTTTCTTACTCCCCCATTAAAAAGTTCCATGTGGGTGGGAATTTTTACTTGTACTAACTCTTTGATCCCCAGAACCTTAGCCACTGCCTGGCATGTATTGGGCACTCCACAAATATTTCTTGAATGAATAAACACCGATTTCATTGAAAAGATTGGTTAGTCAAAGTGTGTTGAAGGCTTTCTCTTTCATGAAAGATGTGGATGCTTTTGGAGGGACTAGGTGGCCCCCAACCCCTGTGAGGAGGATATTATTTTTCCTGTTTTATAGATAAGACAACTGACGCTCTACTTAAGTCAGGGCTTCTCAATCTAACGTGCACATGAATCACTTGGGGATCTTGCTACAATGAAGATTCTGATTCAGGAGGTCTGGGCTGGGGCCCTAGAAGCTGCATTTCTGACAAGCTCCTGGGTGATGCTGAGGCTGCTGGTCCATGGTCCACACGCTGACAGCGATGGTTTAAGGCTCCCATCCAGGGTCCATATGAGTACTTGGAGTAGGGTTTTGAATCTAGAGACCATGCAGGTCATCATTTCCTTTCTGTTCCCTCGTCTCCATCTCTATGCCTCTCTCTCAATCTTATGGTCTCACAGACCTGCTTCTCTTTCCCTCCTAGGTTGCTCCTGTCCCCACACACCTGCCTCCAGACCTTCCCTTCCATAGCCACCCCACCTCCAGCATCTTTAGCCTCTTCCTTCCACACAGGCTCCTCCACTTTATACATGTGCCCAAGATTGTGCCAAATGGCCAATCACACGTTTCTCCTCTGTTTTACAGGACAGTGGTTAAAAAAAGGTGATCCTCCTCACAGCCCGCAGGTGGGCTGACTTCCTCCCCCCCACCCCCCATAGCCTGCACAAGTGACTTCTGACAGCCATGCTACTCCCTTCAGCTCCGTCCTCGGCAGCGTCTGCTGTGGCCAAGCCAATCCTCCTGCAAGCCAATCCTGCCTTCTTCTCCTGGTTCCTGTAGTTTTCCTTCTACTTATCTGTCTGCTTTGTCAGTTCCTCTCCTCCTCCGAATCTTGACCCGTGATCAGTTCCTGGGCTTCAGTCCTTAGCCCTCTGCCCTTGTACTCTTTCTCCAGGCCTGGTTTCATACACGCCGTACTCTCATCTGCCACCTCTCAGAGGAAGGCTCCAGACACCCACCTCCTACCCCAGTCTACCTCTGTATTTCCAAGTTCCCATGGGACATTTTTGCTTGGGAGCCTCACCAGCATTCTCAGCCCTATATGTCCAGTCATACTCATCCTTTTTGCTCCAAACCATTTCTCTCTCCCTACCCTCCTCCAGATGCCTCTGTTTTCAAGATAACCAATTCTTCCTCCCACCTACTGCTGGGTGGTTTGGGGAGAATGACTCACCCGCTCTGAGCAATTTCTGTCTTATGAAATAGGGAGATTAAGTAGGGATACCTACCAGACTGGGCTATTAGGAGGATTTATTGAGCTAATGTATGTACAAAGTACTTGGCATATAGTGGTAGTTTCTCCTTTTCCCCTCCTGTCCAGGTGATTAAATATACCTTATCTATTTAGTCCTTTTAATTCTAGGAGATAGATCATCTTCTCTCATAAGTGCTTGGTGGGAGTTGGGGAAGGGGAGATGGTGCTTAAGAGAAAATCAAACCACCTAAGTCTTCTCTATAGAAGGCAGAATACTGCAGAGAATTACTCTACCGTGACATACAGTACATGACACTCATGGGTGATTTGGGGTTGGTGAATATAAAATTATGAATATTATTATGAAAACCCTGTGCCCCATCCATTGCTTCTGCATCCCACTGCTGGCATGAGTTTCATACTCTAGGACCTGTGATGTAGAACTCCATGTTTGCACCACTTGAAGGGCCCTTGTTTATCACTGCACCTGGAACTACAAATATTTGCATATCTGCCTCCTACACTTCCACACTGCTTGTCTTTGATTCCCACCATGCCCAGCACTGTGCATGCTATAAAGTGGGAATTCAAAGATGTTATGGACACTGGCTAACAGACACAGGTTGTGATGGGTCACTCAATGCCCACATCTGTTGTGGAACATTGATGCCATGAGAACCCCTGCAAGACCTGAGGAGCTCCCGGGGGCCACCATTACTTCCATAATTCCTTATGGTTTCTTAAAGTGGAAAGAAAGAAAAGTAATATTTCATGGTCACCAACATTGTGCCAAGCACTTTACAAATTCATTGCATTCTCTCTTTGATGTAACTCTATGAGTTAGGCACTTTGCTCTCATTTTAGGGTAAAGAGAAAGGAGACTCAAAGAGTTCAGAAAGTTTGCTTAAGGCTGTACAACTGGTGAGTGATAAAGATGTGACTTGAACTCAGAGTTGCATGACTCCAAAAGCTCATTCTCTTTCTACCGCAGAAATAATTCACTATAATTGTTTCATATCTCTATGCCTTTACAGAAGCTATTTCCTCTAATAAGAATTTTTATTTCTCCAGTACTGGGTAAATCCATCCCTAAATATACTAACTATGCTCTGCTTCATTAACAAGTTAGTCACTTAACCAAGTGCTCCTATACATAGTATGTATAGGCACCTCTCAGCTGACATTTCAATTATTAGATTTTATACTAGTTTCTCAGATAGGCCTGGGCACTGTGTGGGTGAGGCTCAAAGTCCTAGCCATTTCTCCCTCCACACTATCTTGGAATATAATGTGCATGTTCAATGCATGTTTGTTCAATGAATGAATGAACTAATGAAGTAAGTTCTTTTGTACTTTCAGCATAGGTGATGGGGTCCACTGGCTTTTCTATAACAGGAGGTGGTGGTACCAGAACCTTATTTATTCACTGCTTGATCTGTAGACCTGAGGACCCAACACTGAGCAGAGAGGCTGGGGCAGCATTTTGCTGATTTCATCTTCAGCTGTGAAGGCTTCAGTAGATGGTGACTGATAGGCATGACCTCTCTCTCAAAGCTGTATTTTTCAGGGACGAGGGAGGACATGGAGTGGTGTGCAATATACTTTACCAGGATCTAGGCATTCTGAATTTTAATCCACTCTTTCGCTAGCTGGAAGTGTGATGAATTCACATACCTCTCTGGGCCTCAATTTCCAAAAATGGGAAATGCATATTAGAAATGTGGGACTAATTCAGTGGTTTTCTAGCTTTTCATCACCAAGGCTCTATTGTACAGAGTTTTTCTCCTTTACCCTCATGTTTTGAAAATGTCTGTTTTAGTAATAAAAAAAAATCACCTTTATTTTTAGTAAGTGCAAAAGAAATATTGATAGGCAAGCATCCATCTATAACTTCCAACACAATACACTGATAACATAAGATAACTAATGCTAAACACCAAACAGATAATTCCAGTCCCACACAAAGACCTTGGATGTTTTTGTCACCTGTGAAGCTGGTTCTAGATAAAAATCATGATTCACTGTAGCCTTTCTGAAATACGGGAAACAGCCAATGAATTCCTTTCCAAGCTTTGAGCCCCCAGGGCTACCAGTTCCCCAAGTAGACACAAATGGCCTCGGAAATTGCTGAGATTTGTGATTCTGTCTTATGTGTGCAAGTCCTGCAGGAGGATTGGTCCCCCTGTTGCTGCAAGTTAGGGATTCCTAACTAGAAAATTATACTTACAAAGGAGAGAGACAGCCCTTCACATCTCTCAAAATAAGAAAAAAAAAAAAAAAAATCCGATATGGCAGAAACATAACAGACTTGAACAATAACAGTGAATTTTCAAATGGAAAACATCTACGCAAAATGAAAACTTCAGGGCTACAGACAACGTAGACAGAAGTGGATATGAGAACCAACAGACGTTTGATTGGTGCAGGAAATGCATGCTACAGGTTCCCTTACGGGGCACGAAGCAAAGTCAACACCAGCTCGATACTTACAAGTAATAGGAGTAGGAATAAGCATTTCTTCTATATATTGATGGGCAGTCAGATGATGGAAATGTCCAAAAAGGGGGAAAAAAAGAAAAGACAAACAAACAAGAATTAGATTTATATGAAATCTTGATTCTTAGAAATGCACATATTATCTTAGCATCCCTAAGTTCAAGGAGATGCAAGTTTCTCTATGAATCATCTTTGCTGAGAATCAGATACTTTAAGTGGTAAAGAGAGATCTCTTCTGTAATAGGGAAACTCATTACTACAGACAGAGGAAACCAAGTTTCAAATTGGTTGTTTCAGTTGTTCAATAGTTCTTCCCTACAGTCAACTGCAACTAGCTTCCTTGTGATTGTGGTGTTTTCTTGGCCTGGGATCAGCTTTTCGTGCTCTCCCAGAACTAGACTACCACTCTTCCACATGGCAGTGATCTAAGCAACACCACGACGACTCCTTCTGTCTTCTCTATCCCAGGTCAAATCACATTAGAACCTATTTAGTAAAGTCATTGCAAAAGCAAGGAAATCACACAGCCATCCAGGACGGCTCCCCAGTGATCCACACTTCCCATCACTCAGGCCCATCGGTAGTGCCCTGCCACACTGAATCAGGGCTGGCCCCATGTGACCAATAGAAGGTGGTAGGAGTTATGTTCTGGGACTTTCTAAGCTAGGAAAAAAATAAACCTTGCAGCTCTTTCCAGGTTTTTGGAATTATCTTTTAGAACTCTGAGTCTCTAAATAAGAAATCCAACTTCCCCAAGGCTACTATGCTGGAGAGATCACATGGACAGTCCCTGAGATTACGTGAAAAGGAAGAAATAGTCACCCAGTCCCCAACCTTCCAGCCCCGGCCAATTAAGTTATCCCAGCTGAGACCACTGACATCATGGAACAGAAACAAGTCATTCCCTTTAAGGCCTGTCCAAAGCAAAGACTCATGAGAAAAATAAATGATTGTTGTTCTTGAAGCCATTAGATTTTGGGGGTATTTTGCTACATAGCAGTAGGCAACCAGAACAAAATTCAACCTCCTCACAAAAGAGCATATACTAAGAGGAAGGGGTTTTAACCTTCAGTCTGCACAGATTCTGACTTGAAGAAACTCTGTGCCTTCACGTCCTCATCTGTGCCCTAGGTGGGTTGAACTAGATCTGTAATTTTCAAACTATGTGCCCAGAATCCCAGGGGTTCTGCAGAGCAGCCTTATCGTTATGGATGAGGAGGATACTGAGCAGGTGGGGTGGCTGGTCCTCCCCTCCCCATACACCAAAGTCCGAGCATCTCCATATTTATCTATTTTATAAATTGGAGTTTTATTTAAGATTTCACATGGGTAAGAATTCCACTCTCCAAAAGAAAGCTTGAAAAATCACCACCTTCAATCTCTTTCTCATGTCCCTACTGCTTCTTGGCTTGTGCACAATCCCAAAACTCAAATAAGTCCATGATATTCCCTTTGTTATAACTTCTCTTCTGTTGCAAGAAAATAAATAGGAATGTTTTTATTTCACATGAGATTTTAGATACACTGACAATAAGTGATACATTTCTGGATTGAGAAAAATTGCTGCATAATTCAAGTCCCCAAATATCCATCTGAGAAGGCAAGAATAGTTTTCTTCCCTCTTGAATTATTTGATTTATTGCAACCATTATCCCATTTGCTTGGCACAGAATAATAGTGTCTTAATAATCACAAAGGTAGAAACATGTCTTCAGAATCCCAAATTCCCCTCCTCAATTAGGAAGTGGCCAAAGCTGCCAAGGTAGGTCCTTTCTAGGCTTTTTCTCATCTATCGGCAAAGCCCAACTCTACAGCCCTAGAAGGAAAGTGGCTCTGAGAGACAAGAAGACGTGGCAGAAGAGAAGACTGATGCCTCCTTAGGAGGCTGAGCTGGGAAAAAGGAGCCACAGTGCAGCAAGATCTGGCCATGCAAAAAGGTGTTCAATATCCCAGACTGAAAAACAGTGGCCTTAGATGGTGGCAGAGGGTGAAGCTTGGGACTGTGATGAGTGGAAATTGGAAGATCCCACAGCATGTCATATAATTCCCTTCACCAGCCATACAGGTTGCCACTGTAAGGAGACCATTTCTCTGCTTCACTGCTGGCTGGTCCAGTGCCAGGAAGGTGATTCCTCAGGGGCAGAAAGCTCAGGATTCATGTGATGAAGACTTACAGACAGCTGCGTTCTCCATATTGTTGAGAACGCTGGGCTGAGAACCAAGAGGTGAGCATTTTAATCCAGCCTTCTCAATTCCTCACTGTGACATCTCGGGCAAGGCATTTCCTCCCCTTGGACCTCTGTTCCCTGATCCACCAACTGAGGCGGATGGCACAGATGACCGACAGCTCAAACAGCTTTGAGGAGGGAAAATATGAGAAGCCTTAGCACCTCGGTACCACCACCCACTAACTGCATGACCTTCGGCCAGTCACCACATTGCCCTGAGTCCCCATCGCTCTATCTCAAGCTTGGGGGTAATAATTACCTATTCCCAAGAGTCACGGTGGGCATTAACATTACATTATACTAATCTAAGTTATATTTGAATGAGATGTGATATATAAAGTGTTTTATGTAAATTACATCAATCTAAATCAACATTAGATTATATTCATCTAAACATCTGGAATATAGCAGGGCTCAGTAAAGGTGGCTCATGTCCCCTCCTCTTCCACACATATAAGGTTTACTGCTTCTCACTCTGGGCACCAGGAACAAAGTGTTCACCTTTTTAGGAATAATAAAAATAGTCATAAAACAAGAACAAATACCTAAGCAGGACTTACTCCATGCCAGGTATTATTCTTGGCTCTTATCACACGTTAATTCATGTATTCCTCACAATTGCCCCAACAGATAGGTATTATTATCATCTCCACTTTACAGATGAGGAAACTGAGGCACAGCTGAGGTAACTTGCCTAATATCACACAACTGGTAACTGGATTTGACAGCAACATGGCTTAAAGCTCATGCTCTCAGCCACTAGCCTGTGCTGCTGTCGAGGAAGGAAGAAAATAGGTGTACCTGAGCAGTATGGTAAGATGCCACCTATCTTATCTCTTTTAATCGTCCCACAACCCTGTGGAGCAGACATTATCATTTTCACTATTAGTCGAGGAATCTGGGGCTCTAAGAGGTCACTCCTAACTAGGTCAAAGTCTTTGTGTATCTTTGGACCAATTGCAAGGCCTCCATCCTGTCTGCAGCCACCTCCTCCTGGGCCTCAGACTGCATTCAGCATTCCAGACCTCTAGCTTCTCTGCTCTCAACCTTGAAGATTCACCTCTGCTTGGGCCACCTCCACATCACAGCCTGCCTCCTCTTTACCTTCAAAGCACAGACCACTTACTTCTTCTGAGTTATCCTGGATGTCAGCAAAAGCCAGCACTGTCCCTGACCCAGCTTCAAGGCAACTCCAGCATGATGGTAACTGACAAACTTCTATTAATTGAGTATATTTTTCCAATTAAACTGCAAAGTCTTCCAGGGTAAGTATCACAGGTCTTTATTCTGTGACTAAAACACAGTTTACACGTGTGTTTTCTCTAAGACTTGAAGATTTACTGAAGGTCTCCATTTACAAGGATACAGTGATATTGCAAGTAACAGATTGCCTGAAACCAAAAATCCTGAACAGGAAGACAGCTGTGCTTAGGAAAAAAAACCCAAAAGACAAAAACCCCAAACTTAATAAATCACATACTGCAGAATCATCTTTTAATCTGGCTGACAAGACTGACTTCAGGCACAGTTTCCTTTTGTTTCATACCATTTAAACAAGACTGAATTGTATGACTAACCACCGATTTGGCCATCAACCCTTTCATCTAGCTCATAAACTCACCTATCCACCCATTCATCCACCCACCAACCCATCCCTCCATCCACTTATCCATCATCCACGAAACAACCCATTCATCCACACATTTATCTAGCTCATAAACTTACCCACTCATCCATCTGTCCAACCATCCATTCATCCACCCATCCATCCAACAATCCACTCACCAATTTTTCCACCAAGTCAGCAAAATCTCTTAAGAGCCTACTGTATACCTGTCTGTCAAGTGCTAGAAATAGAAAGACAAATGAGGTCCTGATCCAGCCCACATGTCTGATGGGAGGGCCGGACAAGAAAATTATAAAACAGATGATAACAACAGCTACCACTTACATAGTGGGAGATCACTTATGTGCCAGGTGCTGTTCTGAGCATATTATGTGGACTACTTTGTTTAATCCTCACAATAACCCTACGAGGCATTATTATCCCTTTTTTACAGATGAGGAAAACGAGGCTCAGAGAGGTTAAGTAATTTGTCCAAGTTTACACAGTTGGTAAGCGTGATGGCAGGGATGAGAATCCAGGCACTATGACCTAAGGAGCCTGTGTCAACAACCATTATGTTATATTGTCTTCTGGAATGATAAATATTATGATATCGCACCACAGGGAGCTGTGAGACCATGCATGCCTGGGGATCAGCTTGGGGAAGGAAAGTAGATAATGAGGCCCAGAATCTGTGATGCCTGAATTGTAGAGTCAAAGGGAAGACAGATGGAGAGAGGGAGAAGGGAATATTCATGCAGATTGAGCTGGGTTTGTGGACTGGGCAGGTGGATTTGAAGGTGGAAATGTCAAGATGTTCGAAGGGCTAGTTCCCAAATTGCTTGGAGAGCTTGGTCTCAGTCCTGTAGGGCATAGGGAAAATGCAAGAAGACAAGTGGCCAAATATTTGTTCTAGATGGATGATTCTGGTAGGAATATAAGAAGAAAGTCAGAAGGGAGAGGAGTTGTGGTCATAGAAGCCACAGAAAGAGCCAACACAAGAGATGTTGGGGGCCATCTCTGTGAAGGCCATGGGGATGGAAAAGAGGTGGATGTAAAGGGTGATTAAAACACAAAATCAATAGGTGATTAAACGTGAGAATATTGAAGAGGACTTCAAAGTTTCCAGCTTGAGTAGCCGCCCAAGTGAATATGAGCAGAAAGAGAAGGATTTGCTCTTCAGGGTGTGT